CAAAGAATTAGAGGAAAGCTGTTGAAATAATACACACTATGTGACAGCACATCCTCTACAGGTGATGTCGGTGGTCGCTGCATCCTCAAGTAAAGGATGGGGCAGAAGCTGATGCAAGCAAGAAATAGTCAGGAACAGTTGGACAATTGTTGTGGAAAGAGGATTTAGTATTACTGGCAACCCTGTCAGTAATAGTGAAAGTTTAAAAAGTAAGGTGGAGAAATAAACATATTTTTAAAGAAGCTAGATGGCATATGCCAGAAACTTGATCAAAGGAAGATAACCAGTGGAGCATAACCAGCATATCACCATTGTGAAAGCCGTATGGGAATAACAGAAAAGACTCTACCAGTGATAAAGGGTCTCTAATGTATTAAAGAAGAACTAAGGGCCAAATCAGATAAATAAATTGACTGTATCACCAAGCGTCAGAGGACCTGTGGACTGGAGTGCCATGCCTAAATGCAAAAGAGTACAGTGACAGGATTAAATTGTGAACTACCTGAGATCACCAGGATGGTCACAGTAAATGCGACAAACCAAGGAAGCCAGGGAAGTTTCAAGGGCAGCAAGCACAGTCATAAAAGGAGACTTAAATGGCTGTTGTGTGGCTTAAGCAGTGTAATGGGGCACAGTGCTTTGGTTTTAGGTGTACCATAAATAACTCCTTGGAGCAGTCAATCAGAAGACCTACAGGAAGGGAAACAATTCCTGAACCGTTCCTAAGGTGTATGCAGGATCACACTCAAGGGCCGCTCTGTAAGGGTGGGATGTGTCTCATCTGACTCTGTACACTTTGAAGCTAAGCTTGGTGACCTTGACTGGAAGAAACGGGTAATAAAATATAGGGTGCTCCTCATTGACCAAATACAGACAGATCATGAACCTTGCCCTCTGTGTTCGTAATGCACTCTGAGCTGGGATGAGAAGAGTAAAAAAATGCAATACAGTACGTGTTTTAATTTAGAAGAGGGAATGTAGATAAAAGTGAAAAGTAATTTGTGTAACAGAGGAATTTAAAGGAGCAGAAAAAGGTGTTGCATGCTTGCAGGCAGCACGGAGAATGTTCAAGGACAGCATGTTAACATGTTTAGAGCAAACTGATATCACCTGTCAAAACAGAATTTAGAAACACCAGAAGACGGTTCTGTCATTAAATTAAACACAGGGTGAAAGAATCTTATCAGAAGAAAAAAAAAAAGGCATCCTTCAGATTATTGAATTGTTTCCAAATAGAAAAAAACCCGAAATCTCTAGCAATTTTGATGTAAAGCTACAGGAATGTAGAAACTATTTGCTAAAGATATCTAAACTACGTCCTTTTTAAAAAAGAGAACCCTGTAGACTACCAGACAGCTTTGTAAGCCTTTTAAGTAACTGAGAAATGAAACCTGAGCTCAAATTAGAAAAGAATCTGTCTCAAAATGTCAGTAAAAGTTTTAGAGTATCTAAAGGAATAGTAACAAATTGCCAGAACCAAGACTTCTAAAGGGATTTAAGAATGAAATTTCTGAGCTACTGCCTCAAGATAGAATTAATTCCTTAAAAATTGCCTCAGTAAAAGGAAGAAGGCAGTGATGGGATAACCATTTATAAAGAAGTATCAGGAGGGATCCAGTGAGCAATAAACCAGTGAGTCTGACATAATAGTGCGTAGAATATATAAAGAATGTATTTAGGACTCAAAAAGTAGAACAGAGAGTAACATCAACAGACTGGTGGACCCTTATGATGAAGAGTTCATGTGTCCTTTGCAGAAGAAAGCTGTGCCCCACAAACGGATTATGTTTTCTGAAAAAAAAACACTGAGGATGGAACCAAGGGGTTCAGTAGGTATAGGCTACCTAGATCTCCAAAAGGCCTCTGACAAGGTCTTTTACAAATCTCTCTTAATAGAGTCCTGGGATAGGATTCAGGATCCTCCCATGCTTTAACAAGGGAGTAAGCACTAAGTAACAGAGAGGAGGAAAGTGATCAGTTTTCTTAAGGAGAGAGGTCACAACTGTAGTCAGATGTTCAGTGGCTTCACAAACAATGTGGGAAGAGAGGTACAGAATGAAATGATAATTCCTGGTTGTGTGCTAAATTGTTCATGGTAGTAAAAGCACAAGCTGCTTGAACAGAGCTGCAGAAGGATTTCACAATACCAAGACACAACGCACTGCACTGGCAGCAAGTGAATTCGGTGTTGATAAAGGCAAGGTAGTGCACATGGAGGAACATGAGGCTGGTGTGCTTGCAGAAGAATGGACTTTGAGCTGGATATTGCTATTCAGGAGGAGATCTTGCAATCCTAACAGATAATTAAAGTGTCAATTCATTGCATAGTAACAGTCAAAACAGTAAATAAAAGGGCAGGAATTTGTAGGAAGAGAATAGAGAACAAAACAGAACGACCAATTGTGCCACTGGTGTGGTGTGTGGGGGCCATCTCCCCATTCCTTTCCACCTCAAAATGCATTTTTTACAGGGGTTGATACAGAGAGAGGCAAAAGAACAAGAAAACCTACTCTGTCTCTGTGTGAGGAATGATTAATGCAGCTAGGGTTCTGCAACTTGGAAAAAGGACAGTAGGGGAATAAAAGTCTGATTGGAATAGGAAAAATGAACAGATAAAAGTTACCGTTTCTAGTAATGTAAGAACTAAAGGGCACCAGATGAAATAATCAGATGGCAATTCAAAATAAAAGATCATTTTCACAGTCTATAAAATTAAACTATAAAACTAATTACTACACAGTATTTCACATCCCAAAAGTTTATGGAAATTCAGAAAGTGATTTGAAAAATTCAGTTCATTAAACATAGAAGATATCCCTGCTGCCCCAGGAGGGATCTGACTCTGATCTACAGATAGCTGGAATCTAGGAAAAGAACATCAGAAAAATGTCATTACATGCCTCATCTGTTTTTACATTCTTCCTGGGCATCTGCTACTGGCTGCTGTCAGAGCAGGGGGTGGGGGGGACCTTTGGTCTGCCCCAGGGTGGAGAGTGTTATGATACCAGAAGGTATCCAGAACTGGATTTTCTTTAAGCGAGTAAACTAGCTTTTAGTTTTAGGTGTTTTAGTATGTGCTGCCCACAGGCTTTTCAGAATGCTGTGGCGGTGGGTAAGTCAGCTCGGCATGCGTTTGGACAGGGTCACTGTGGACTGCCACTACAAAGGACAGCCTGTGCCGCCTCCTGTCCCCAGCTGATCCAGCAAGGAAATGAACCCGCTCACCCCAAATGAGTGCTTTTGTGGTAGTTCAGTCTGTGGCTGCACAGTTGCTAGATGTGCCTGTGCAGAGGAGAAAGAATAGATTTGTGTTGTGCCCCCCCCACGCACCATCCCATGGTAGCACTGGGTTAGTCAGGTAAAAGCACACAGTCCATTCTGTTCTGCAAAATAAAACCAAATTACTGTTTTTTAGATACCGTTTTTAATGTATCTTCTAAAAGAGCTGTGTGGGCTTTTCCTCTGTCAGTTCAGCTGTGTTTCCCCTGCAGGTAGGGGTTTGACATAGCAGAGGCCTGTCCTCTGGCGGATTAAAAGCGTGAAGCCTTCACTTGCAGGTCCCAGGATCATTAGCACTTCAGTGTCACTTCTGTTTTGCTGGCTTTGTTTTTTTCTTTAATTATCTGTGCCAAGAAAAAATGTGTGGGGCTGTGTATAAACATCTTACAGTATGTAGTAACTTGTTTTTATGTGCTATCCAGCAAGTGTCCTTGCAGCACGAAATAATAGGGTTTGGGGCTTCAGAAGATAATTCCTATCGGTCTCCTGTGCAGTGCTGCACAGCCTGGATTTCTGTAGGAAGATGGCATTAATATTGCAGGGTGATGTTTGGCCTTTCCTTCTCTGCATGAGGCAGCGTTAGGGGAAACCATGTGATTTCAGTGGGTGTTGAGAGGTCGCTGTGTGCAGAAATGCCTCTGGGGTTTTGTGAGCATGTCCCTGGTGAAGGCAGTCCTTAGTTAAAGGACAGGCTCAGCTGAGCAGCGCTGTTTGCACGTAAAGAATGAGCCATCAGGATTATGGAGCTTTCCAAACTGTAAATGTAGTGCTGTGTACAAGTGCAGGTTGCAGCAGGGTTTGCTGATGGGAGCAGCTCCTGCCTTTGCTTCCAGTGCACAAACTGATCTTGTTTCCCTGCAGAACGATGCAGGTGTAAGGGTGGTAAATGCTGGCCCATGGCAAGTGAATGATGTGGTGTTCTGGCTGCATCAGTCCCAGTGAAAGCCATACTGTTGGGGTGCTCTCCTGCTTTATTCCCTGTTTTCAGGAGCAGTTAAGTTTGTAGTTTGAAT